AGCCTTGCTGCCTTTATTTTGTCTGAGTGGCATTTGTTCCTGCTTATGGTCACTCTGTAGCTGTGTGGAAGTATGATTTGGGGGCTGCATTAGGATTGTGTCCCTCCAGCATCCTTGCTGCCTTTTCATAACCCATTATAAACAGGAGCACTGAGCCCATCTGTTTATGTTCTGTGTGTCTGACATGAATCCCATGGTGACTGACTCTGCTCTTACCTCATTTCAGTTCCTATCATTGGGTTTTCGACAAAAAATTCCATAACCACAACTGGGAAAGTAACACTGGGAGTCGTTGTAGGTGGATTTGTAGTTCAAATGGTCTTTATGGCTTCTGTGCAATGTAAGTACGTTCACAAGTCTAAAATAATCTTGTATATTTTTTGTTAATTTGGATTTCAGGAATATTGGAACGTAATTATTCATTTATTTTTTTTACATTATAGAGACTTAAAACAACCATGAAAATCAATTTCATAAATTCTGAAATCCTTAACATGTACATTATAGGATGTTTAATACATTATAGGATGATTCATACATTATAGGATGTTTGACCCTTGTTACCTGTGATGTTCCTGACATGAACGTCACATGCTGACTGACCCTGTTCTTACAGTTTTATACTTTAGGATTGGGGATAAATATGTACATATATGCAAAGAATTGAAAGAGAGTCTGAAGAAAACACTCTGGGCCATATTTGCATTTGTGATAATCATGGTTTTATTTGCAAGTAAGTCAATTTCTAGGTTTATAAATGTAAATGTAAATTTTAATTCAAAATTTTGTGTTGGGATTGCTGGACCAGGATTGTTTGTAGAGGTATTAATTTTCTGCATAGTACTGTTTTAAACACAAACCTTGAACCTTAACATTTTGCTTTACATGAATTAAAATACAATCAATAATTATGTACATTTTTAATAATAATAATAATAATAATTATATGGACAAAAGTACTGGGACACCTGGCCATTACACCTACAGGAACTTTTATGACATCCCATTCTAAATCCATAGGCATCAATATGGAGTTGGTCTCCCCTTTGTCGTTGTAAGAGCTGCCACTCTTCTGGGAAGGCTTTCCATAAGATTTTGGAGCTTGTCTGTGGGAATTTTTGTTAATTTATGCAGAAGAGCATTTGTGTAGTCGGCCACTGATGTTGGATGTGAAGGTCTGGCTCGAAATCGCCACTCAGGTTCATCCCAAAGGTGTCCAATGGAGTTGAGGTCAGGGCTCTGTGTGGGCCAGTGAAGTTCTTCCTCACCAAACTCTTTATGCATTGTGGCAGAGTCAGAACAGAAAAGGTCCTTCCCCAAACTGTTCCCACAAAGTTGGAAACATGGAGTTGGTATGTCTTGGTATGTTGAAGCATTAATAGTTCCCTTCACTGGAACTAATGGGCCTAGCCCAGCCCCTGAAAAACCACCCCATACCATTATCCCTCCTCCACCAAATTTTACAGTTGGCACAGTGCAGTCAGGCAGGTAGTCTTCTCCTGGCATCTGCCAAACCTAGACTCGTCCATCAGACTGCCAGACAGAGAAGCGTGATTCGTCACTCCACAGAACCTGTTTCCAGTGCTCCAGAGCCCAGTGGCAGTGTGCTTTACACCACTCCATCTGACTCTTGACATTGTGCTTGCTGACATGAGGCTTGCATGCAGCTGCTCGACCATGGAAGCCCATTTCAAGAAGCTCCTGCCGCAGTTTTTTTGCTGCGGTTAATGCCAGAGGAAGTTTGGAACTCTGCACTTATTGAGTCAACAGGGTGTTGGTGACTTTTACAGACCATGCGCCTCAGCATTGTGACCCCACTCAAGGATGGATTACTGCACGGGCCTACCAGGCCCAGGCCCAGGGGCTCAAGAGCCAAGGGGGCCCTGAAGCCAAAACCACCGCGCTACCATTTCAGTATTGTTTTTACATATTATGCATCTCGATATCATATTGGGGCCCTGAAGCCATATAACACTGGTTATACTATGTAATATGTCTTAATTGGGCCCCTCCATCATATGCCACAAGTTTTGTAATTAATCCCTGATATGCGAAAGGGGCCCTTCAATCAAATAGTATGGTGTGTGATATGGCATATAGGGCCCCTGAACCATAGGTTGTGTATGTTATTCATCCTTGGTATCGGAAAAGGGCCCCTCAATTAGGTTATATGTCATATGGGATCCTGAAACACGGGTTATGTTAGTCATCCCTGGTATCTGGAAGGGCCCATCGATTAAATAGCATGGGGTATGATATGTCATATGTCTTAAGAGGGCCCCTGAACCACAGGTTGTTATTCACCCTTTATATCTACAAGGGGCCTCTCAATCAAATAACGTGGGGTATTACCAGAGATGGGGACAAGTCGCATATGATCAAGTCCAAGCAAGTTTCAAGTGTTAACCATCAAGTCTCGAGTCAAGTCTC